GCTGCCGGCCAGGGTCAAACCACGACAGACCACCTTCCTGATAACCAATTCCAGTATTCTGGCTGAGTTTATCCTTTCTGCAATCAGGATGCTTGGTTAGGAGATGCTGGCCAACATAACCAGAGGTATCCAAAGAAGCCTGGCATCAGAGTCAAAGTCTGCTTCTCTCCTTCCCTTCTCTCACTATGCTATAAGGCTCTCTGTTCTACAGCCTTTGCTAAGCTTTCAAGGGCAATGCTTCAGGGCTTCCTAGTGTCATGGCATGCTACACCCACTGCTGAGGCTGGAACACCCCCAAAACCAGAAATACCACACCAGCAGGGTCTGCACCTAACACCCTGCAATATTCAGGCTGATTGGGTGCACTGATGCAAGAAGGATGAGCAGGTGAAAACTCCTTTGTGAAAATTTCTTGTTTCAGTCCAAAATGTCAATAGTAAGAAATGTCTATCACGTTCAGTAACATCATAGCTAAGTACGGTTCTTTCCCTCTCTCTCTTTTCACCATGTTTATCGCACTCACAACCTAAAGACAGCAGTAGGGATTAAATGTACATCAGCTGAGGATGGCAGCCTTATCTTTCAGTGTTCTCCTCACTCCCTCGAGAAAAGGACTGTCCATCCACAACACTGCTCGAGAACAAAGAGAAAACAAATGAATGCAAATCTATGAACAGCTCTACAAAGAGTTGATTTTATTTCACCTGTGAAAGTTAGGCCTGTCCGCTTCTTATCTCCAACCATAAAGGGACAAAAATGTAATATACACATAAAATATCACATTCACCTTCGAATAATCCTTAGCTATTTGTAGAAGAGTAAGTTGTAAGAATGGCTACTTGTAGGATGAGGATTTTGAGAGCTTGAGTTGAAGATTGCAAAAGGAAGAAGAGAGAACAAATGGAGAAATTAAGATAGGAACTGAAAGATGCTGAATTATTTCTAAATGAGAATATGCAGTATCAGAAGGAATCAAGAAACTAAATTGCTAGGATACCTCAGAAGGTCAGGGCACAGAATACTAGGCAGGTGAGTATTCTGAATACATCAAGATAAGTGAAGATACTGTATGGGGATAGCTGATTTCATAGAGATGCTGGGAACAGACATATCTGAAATTTCTGAACAGAATACTGTGCCACACTCCTCAGAGGTCCATTCATCTGAGCTGTATGACTCTTCTGTTCTTGGTGTGAAAAATCATGTTCTAAAGAGCAAAGTAATGTCCCATCTAACCCACAAAAGTGGCTTTTATGCAGCCTGTGATTCTTTTGTACTACATGTTTCTCCCCATTAAGTTTCTCTCCAAATGCGGAGCTCAATACACAACACAGTAGTAAGTTCTGAATTGATAATTTTCCATGGAGATTAGACTTTCCGTCGCTCTGACGATACCAGGCTTCAGAATTAGATGGGCTGGTTTTAGCAAGTGGATTTCCTACAGACTGCTGCTGAATGGCACTGCACATAGGCACAATGATATCAGTGTAACTTCACTGGATAGAGGCTTTCTTTTTGTTCAGCTTCCTGTTCCTGCCTACAGCTTTTAGGAATTACTATAATACGTTAATCAGTAACATTATTTAACATTTCCCAGAATATATTTCTGAGAACTATACATATTTTATGCCAGACTCTACAAGGATTAGCAAAGAATATAGGAAAAAGCATACGGAAGCACCAGTAATATACTGTTCTTGTAGCTCCTAGAGAACCTTCATAGGCAAGAGAATGGATTTTACTAAGCGTTATACAAAAGCAGAACACAAGGAGTCCCTCACTTGACTGCCTTACACAGTAATCTGCATTAACAGACTTAAACTGCTGATTCAAGCTATATCCAGAACTCCTGGTAGGTAAATGTGTGTTTACACACATGCTAGTTATGATGCTAACTATCTTTGTGACAGTCAGAAAATTAGAAAGAGATTTTATCATTATTCTCCCCGTGATGAATTTCAGAACTACCCTGAGTAGGATAAACTGCAATAAACAAATGCATGTTTGCAGAGTGTGGGACTCGGATTCAGGTCAAATCTTTCTTCACCTACAAAATAACTCTTGAAATGGTCTGAAGCTGGTTCAGCCAGGCAAAGGCAAAGCCAAATTACTATGTGGCACCATCCACCCCCAGAAGCAGCTCTCCCTGGAGTACAAGAACCAACGGATGCTCTTACTAGAGCAGCTCATCCCAGCTTGACTTTGTCCTTAAATCATCATTTTTAGACTCAACGAGACACAAAACTTAATACAACTTTTCCTTCAGCCCCCAAGAACTGAGCATTACATTGGGGAGGCTAAAGAAGGGGGGAAATACCTTCTCTGGCACCATATATTGTTAATCCTATTACTCCCAAGTGGATCAATGCTAAGTTACTATAAGATTTGGGGTTTTTTTTAACTGTATTTAATGTACAGAGTAAACTGACTCCTAATGAAACAATTAATTTTGAGTTGAAACCAAGTAACTTCAGCTAAGGGTGCACTAAGTCACTGGTAAACATAGTGCAATTTCTGTAGAAAAATCAAAAGGGTTCTCTCATTGTTACGAATTTGCTCTGGGAGCTCTGTGCTGAAGCACAGAAACTGAATCAGATCATGTATTTGGCCAATACAGAACATGAAGGGCAGACAGGGAGAAGATAATGAAACATATCCTTCAAACAGTAACACTGGAGAGTATTTGAATGGAATAACAACGCCAAGCACTCATGAAACTTCGTAGCTTTACCGTCTTTTCGGTAAAACACATATACTGTATTGAAACAAATCACAGAACGTTCACTGGCAGCCACATTTTCTAATGAGTTCTGTAACACAAAAGATGAAAAGATCATCTTTCCCGCCTGTCTGGACTTAAATTACTTACATTTGATGAATAATTTTTAAAACATCGGTACGCCAATTGCGTTATGAATGATCATAATTTTCAGATGTTTTTAATTTGCACTTGGAGATAAAAATACGCAAACCTATGGCAATATTTTTACACGCAGATAACAAACATGCCGCTTCTACTGATCATCACATTGATTTAGTGTAGAGATGTTCATGTATCATTACATAATTTCATTTAATGTTTGTTATGTCTATGGGTAAGATGTCTTATTCCATTTAATATGTTACATCTGAGTAAAGGCCAGCGGATTTCATAAAAAAGACATGTTCTGCCTAATACATTGTTAGTAATAGCTCAGTTTCCCTATTTCCCCTTAGATTTTGAACACAAAGTATAATATTCTACATTTCTTGAGAGCATGCATGCAGCTGAAACACACATATTTGCATAAGCTGCAACACTTAGTGAATGGCAAAAGCCATGCAAACCACTGAGCACGAGGAATACACTGTGGATAATGGAGAGGAAAAACAGAAGAGATGGAAGGGAAAAATAAACCATGCATCCATGAAAGCAATGGCAGGCACTGGTGGAAGCGTGAGCACCTCAAGGCATAGAGAAAAAAAGGACAGATACCTACCCCAACCTGCGCTATCTAGCTACCGACCTGTGGACTTATAGTATCACCAGTTGGCTCACCAAATGGATCACTGTTGGATGAGGCCTGAGACCCATCAGGCTAGAATACAAGAACATAACACCTTTTTTTCTCAACAATAGAAAGTGAAAAGTCAACATGAGGTTATTTTCATGCTGTGGGCATAACAAGTACATCCTATCTCACAAAAACCAGAAAGTGAGACCTCACCACTGATAATGTTCTCAAAAGCCATAGTGGTTTCCTACCAGTACCTGCTAGAGCCCACGCAGGAGCTGCCACAGACTGCAGAAGGTACTGGATCAAACAAACGAGAACTGCAAAAGGCCCTGAAAGCCAGTGAAACTATGTGTAGAATCAAAGAATCCAAGCTGGCGTTCTTTTGCACCTTTGGGTCCCTTTTTTTTGTACAGACTCCCTCTTGCCTTTGGCTCACTTGGGCTCTTATCTTCCTGAGACATCTCATGATTTCAAGCTGTTGCTTGGATAACATTTATTGCTTTTGTCCACTGAGTCTAAGGCAAAGAAATCACATACTGAGGGCCAGAACATTGAGGAATGTAACTAGGCAAGCAACTGGGATGCAAGAATGTGCAAGACAACATCAACCATCATCTTTTAACACACAGACTCTCACACCTCTTTCTGCAGCCTCAGCATGTATGTTGTTTTACCTCGGACTTCCTTACCATCAGTAGGTGAATGCTGCTATGCTAAAAAGGACATTGTATTCAACTAACACATAGAACTTTACATATGAACTCTCCGTTGGGTTCCTTGTACGCAATATTAGTGCATACCAACAGAAATGTCATGCTATTAGCTATCAAAACCAAAGCAGAAAGTGAATTCTGACTGTGGCTCCCCATTAAATACCACCCAGCCCTAGCAGAGTAGTTATTTCTGACACTAGCAAGCAACATTTAAGTAACTTCCGTCTTTTCTATCTAAAAAGAGCTAATCAGTATTTAGAAACCTTGTTGCTACTCACAGCCTCTTGCTCCTCACTTTTGCTTGGGCTTTCAAACCCCTCCTCAAAGAGGTCATCTGCAGCAGGATCGCTGGTATGAGACGCTGATGATTTTGATGGAGAACTCTGTCTGGGTGCAGGGGTTGGAGCTAAACAAAGATTAAGGTAACAGCAACAGAAAATATATCTGTTAATTTGTTCAGAAAGACAGAGCGGCACAAAATCTGCTCATCCTTTACAGCCTCAACTTTTATTACCCATGACAATTATTTTCTGTCGAGAAGCTGCAAGAGGTAAATTCGAACACGGTAGTCATTATCAATTCCCTATATCTGAACTCATTCAGCAGTTTCCAAATTAAGAGCCAGGGAGGCACCACTATATTAAGAATGCATGAGTCGCCTGCCCTATGGCAGGCAAGTGAAACAGAGGGTCTCTGGCTGGCCCCTGGTAAATCTGTGCCTCACGAATCCCTCTTTCCAGCAGTCTGCAAAATCCCCCATCTCCATGCTATGAACATGCTAATCTTATTTTATAGCTCTTCAATGAATTCCCCCACATGTCCAATACATCAAGCTATTAAAGTAAATACCCATCCCCTAATTTCTGCAAAGTGTGGCTTGGACATAAGTGAAACCATTTATATGGTTGAATGTCATGGGCATTTTCCAACCAGCTTCAATGTCCCTAGCACAGAACATGTATTACTGTCTTATAAGAAATTAAATTTCAGACTGCAGCTATCGGGGCTGTTGATTTCAATAGTCTCTGAAATTCCTCTCTGATACTTTTCTTTATGGCTTGAACACATTTAAAAAGCTAGACCATGCACGAAGGTTCTCAGTCCATATCTGTGGTGCAATTTATTGTATCAAAACAAAAAGAAGGAAATGCTTTGAGAAGCAGTCACATCTGAGGAAAGGCACGGCTAAAAGCGTATGAATACTCACGTGAATTTGTAGATGGTGTCGTGGAAGTCACAGGAGTCAAATTTAACTGAGAGATGTCAAAGTCATCACAATCATCTGCTTCCTGTGCCATCCCAACTTTGTTAAAGTAACTTGAGAAGGCCTCTGAGGTACAACTGAGGGAAGGCTGATCTGGTTTTCGTGATGGCACTGGTGGAGGCTGAGCCATCTGGAAATCTTTAAACATTTCTTTTCCCATTTTCTGTCTGGGCCTGTCTGTCTGTGGACTCGATCTGTTGGAATCACTTGTGGGTGGAACAGTAGCTATAGGAGCAATGGTACCTTGAAACATGGCTGCTTGTAAAGGCAAAACAGTCTGTGTTGGCATGAAGGCAGTTGGTTGGAATTGACCAGCTACAGATGGCCACGGTTGCTGAGTAGGAGGAAAAATACCGGGTTGGCCCCACGCTATCGGCTGTCCTCCCTGCATCACCTGAGCAACTGGAGGCTGAGCACCCATGGCCAACTGCTGTTGAACAAGTGGTTGCTGTCCCCAGAACGAGGGCAGAACAGCTCCCATGGCAACATAACCTTCAAAGAATAAAGAGAACAGGAGAAAAAGGAAAGATTTTAACACTACTGTCAAGAGCATGCAGAAAAATCTACACAACAAACGAGAAACACGCAGGTTACATCAGTGATCCCAGAGCTTCAGCATGCTTAAAATAAAACTGGAGGACATGGTTGAATTCACCTTGGTGAACTAATACTTGCATACAAAACCCCAGACTGGTGGGTGTTGGCAATAATCCTTCCCCTCATCTGAATAAAAAAGCTATTCTCTTCTTCCTCCATGCATACCCCCGTGGGTCTGTGAAGACCTCTGTGCACAGACCTGGTGCTCTGTCCAAGCCCAGCCAGGATGAGTTTGGTGGAACCACTTACCACATCTACAGCAGCTCCCAAAACATTTCCCAAACTCACCCCCTGGCAGCACAACCCGGCTCCTCCCCACTGAGTTCTGCAGGCGCTTCTTGTCATCCTGGCTACCCTAGCCTCTGCCTCTCATCTCTGCCTGTCCTTCTCTCAGAGCAAGGATCTCTGGCCCTGAACATCATCCCCTGGGTCAGACTGGGATGGAGTTCATCTCTTCAGAGCAGCTATAAAATGAGAAACCAGAGCAAGCAGAGGGATGGAAGAGGATGCCTGGGACTGCGTAGCTTTGCTGCAGTCCCATATCTTCTTCACCTTTGTTCTTTTTTTGGAGCAACCCAGCAACACCAGCTACAAAACTGGCTCTAAGTTCGAGGGAAGCACCTTTACGTGCGTTAGCAGACAGCTCATGGGCTCTCTAATGACAGTAAGACCTTCTCACTAGAGAAAGACTCTGTGCCATCTCTTCTGACACAGTTACAGTTCAAACCCTTGGCACTCTGAAGAGCAAAGGAAGTGCCTCAAATTGCATAATAAAAACACAGAGCCCAGATAAATTCAGATAACCCCCCCCCCCACATTTAGTTATTACCTGGTTACCTTAGAACATCAAAAAGGTCCTGAGCTTCTGCTCTACTACATAGTTAATAACAACAAACTGCTTCAGGTATTTTTCTAGCATAAGGCCCCTCTACTTGGGGAGCAAATTAAAGATTTAAACTAAAATTATAATTGCTTTCTGTCAGATCTGAAGCCTCCTTTCAAGCTGCCAAGAGTCTGACTGATCAGGTGCTTTGTTATTCACAATGAGAAAAAAAAGAATCTGAAACTAAAACTACTGTAAAAATGTTACAAATTAAACCATGTAATACAATTATGTTCCACTGATAGAAGTATTATGGTCTACAGATATGCTGTTTCACATTGAAATTAACGATTTACTGCTAATAGTTTACATACGTAACCTCTCTTTTAATACTGCCAGAGCGTTAAAACTCTTGTTTCTAACTTGAGTATTTTTCTGAGTCCTCCTGTACCTTTTCCTCTTTCCTTTATTTCTAGGCTGTTTTGTAATGCTAAATGTAAGGGCAGTTGCAAAATTGTAAAGGGAAAAAGCCCCAAATGAACTCAAATAAAAAACAGATGCTGAACTTTGAGAAAACGAATTAACGAGCGATGAAAGGAACAGTAGCTCAGATAGGTATCTATTTCAACAGATGGCTATGATGGATTCTCCAGATCTCCTTTTATCTTGCCCCCACTGTAACCTCATCCAAACAGTGAGGGTTTTCATCTGACATTATCCCCAAACACTTCACCACCAGTGTAACCTTTCTGAGATGCAGTGACTAATCTGAGCGGCAATGTAGCCCATCAGAGAAGGAGTTAACCAATTAGGCAGTCACTGTTAGAACGATTCCAGGCACTCCTCCTCCTCCTTTTTTTTTTTTTTTCCCTAAGCGGAGCTCAGAGCTGCTCCGAGTATCCCAGGGAGAGATGAGCAGTCAAAACCACATCCCTCGTGTGTCTGTGCAGAACGCTACACAGCTTCTCAATTCTGAGCACTCTGAGGAACACAGGAAAGTCTAAAGGAAGTATCAGTATCTGACTAAGTGGAATGCCTTTGAAATGCAATCATATTCTCCATCTCTCTTTCTCCCTTTACTGGAGACAGCACAGAGTATTCACAGCTACTGTAAAAAAAAAAAAAAGCAAGCAGCAGTAAAGCTGAACTAAATGCTTTTTTCTCTCTTGCTACTGTACCTAGAAGGTATGTTATCCAGATGGCTGAGCTATGGTTGAACTCCCAGTGACCTGTTTAGCTTTAGTTTTAAAAAATGTGGGCAAATTCAAATCAACGTATTCCCTGCTTGTTAAAGACTTGTTTTGCCTTGCCCTGCAGCTCTGTCCTCCAAACCCTTCCCCACTTCCACTGTAATCAATGAATTCTCTGAGTACTGAACTGCAAACCAGAGCTGAGAACTGATCACCAAATCTGAGTCGAGCCCACATTTCCAGTAGACTTCTTACCTGAGGGTACGGCAGCAGTGCTGAACGGTACAGAACCAAACATGTCTGTACTAGCAGGAAGTGACTGGGATGAAGATGGGATAAAGGCATCACCTGGAGTAGCAGGAGTCTGCAAGGAGACAGGAATAAAATACAACAACATCAGCTGCAGCTTTGGCAGCACACACTTTGCTGTCACATCGTCTGTAACTCTAAAAATACAGGTTTGGAGGGAAGAGAAAGAAAAAAAAAGAATGGAATGATGTAGAAGGAAAGAAGCAATAGAAATAAGAGTATTAGAATTTGCTAGAGAGAGCAGAGAAGAAAATGAGAGAATTTGTACCAGGAGAAAAATAAAATAAAATAAACCTGACTGGAATATATCACATGCAAAATACAGACAACGTTTTTTTCTCTAGAAAATATAGACTCCAAGTCTAGGTGCTAGGTGACAGCTAGCAGAGGCACTGACCAAGGCATTAACCTAAGACACAGTAAAGGTAGATGAACTATCTGCAGGATTTATGGAAAAGTGCATAAATATTGCTTCCAGTTAACCAACAGAACCAGAATCGTAGGTCTACATTAAAATAGAACCAAAATCCAGTTGAGCAAACTAAGGATGAGGAGACAGGATTTTGAACATCTAGTCCCAGACATGCTGCAGAGTACCCTGGAGATGAGGCTCCTGACTTCACAGCGCCTCAGTTTCCTCAGTATATTCATACTCCCCCTAGAGCTTAATGTGAGGGTCAAAAGCTTTATAGAAAATAAATGTGTTTTCTGTTTATGTTGCAGAAAAGCACACTGAGAAAAAATTTCTTTGCTCTCAAAACATATTCAGCCTTCTTTCTCTTTACTCTTTTGTCTCCCTACCTTTACCAGCAGTTCTGGGATACGTGCTTGGTGGAACCAGAGCGACATGATATATATACTGGATCTTTCTGCAGTGCAGTGCAGAGACAGAGTGCAGTGAAGCATGCACCTCGGATAAACACCAGGGAGGGAGATCTGCAGCTTATGTTCTATCTTATGTGACACCTAGTCTTATAGCAGAAGAAATCAAAATTGAAGATATTTTTGCACATCATCACAAAGCAGTGGCTCGACATCCAATTTGCTTCACTTTTATTTTCTTGCAACATAAAAACTACCCTGAAACCCTCCCTACTGACCTGAATTGTAAATGAGCTCAACAGATGTGCTGAAAACAGCATGTAGAAAAATGCACAGGTCAGTATGCCTGGGTACTCACTGGGGGAGAGGTTACATCGGGAGGAGTGGACATGTCCCCAAAAAGCTCTAGTTGGGTAACAGCCTGTGAAGAGAAAAAAAAACAACAAACACATTGCCATTTACCTTTCGAGGAGAAGAAACTGTGAGTTAACTAGATACAACTTGTGAAGTTAACTAGGGACAGCCAGCAACGTAAGTCTCCCAAAAGCCACGCAAGCTTCAAAGGCCAAGTCCCATATGGGAAATACATGGGTTCAAGCTGTGGGATTCTGATATTGCTGATGGATCCAAACAGTCAGCAGTTGACCCTATAAAATGACTCTGTAGGGAATTCTCCACCATAAAAAACAATGAATAAAGCATGGAAAAATTATCCAGAATGGGACTGGATGCATTACTGCTTTGCCTTTAACATCAGTGAGCACCAAGCATGATTTATGGCCAGTCCTTTTCACGGGCTCCTTTTCTAAATCCCTCTTTCAAGGTCTTAAAACATGGCAGCAGACTGCAGAAGTGACAGAAGATGACCGAAGGGAAGTGCTTTTAAAGTGTTGCCTGATTTTCCCTTGCCCAGGGGACAGGCGTGACCTGGATAAGTGGACCTGAAGGAGGATGCACAACTGAGTTACTCTGAGTTTGCTGCCCTACATTTAACTCATGCTAGAAATGTTTTCTCAGGGTGTCCTTCAGTTTGATCTCAAAATAGGTCACCCATAAAGGTCGGATCCAACTGGACCAGTAGAGAAAAAACACTTTATAATAAGGAGCACCTTGAGTGGCTTCATAATCAAAGCTCCTTCACGTGTTCTGGAGTACTCTCTTCCACTCACCTGCCTCTGCAAATAATTCAGCTGGAGGCCAGGGATGGTAAAGCACATAGCTCTGCAGGAAACCTAAAACCCAGCTACCATCCTCATCAGGGTGGCTGCCTGGAAACCTTTGATGGGAACTCAGGAACTACTCCTCCATTACCTGCCTTCTGCTCCCTGGCTCTCCTTCCTCCCTGTAACATACTCAACCACACCCCTGTGGGAAGCCACAATTTTCATTTGGAGTAAGATTCAGTGCAAATCTTAATTCAGTTCATTGAATCTCCTCTCCAGTCTAGGCGTATAAATCTTGCAGTCTCCTATCTCATGTACAGGTTTGGAATTCAGCTGAGTCTTGACCTGCAAAGGCAGACACTTAGTACTTTGGACATTAACCACCTTGGCTGGTCAGTCTTCACAATCTACGAAAGAAGCAAGAACACCTTAAGATTCCCCCCCCAACCTTCTATTACAAATGTGAAATAACATTACAATTCAAAATATAGTAATTTCAAAGGTTTATACATTTCTGAGATCCAGTCTCTATTCCCACATACAAAAGCAATGCTACAATCCTCTAGACCTGGAATTTGTCTGGCAGCTCGGATGATTCTCAGCTTTATGTCTAACAGTGTACCAAGGGATGAATTATTTCACATTTCCTCACGTCATGCCTTATATTAAATAGATCACACTGCTCTAGCGCTAAGACAATATATTTTCTTCTTATGGGCTTATATATATCCCTCTAAGTATCTGCGTGGAAATGGAAGAAGGAAATAAGAAGAAAATCCACGTTTTCTTCAGAGTACATCAATTCTAGTGTACAATGCTAAAATACTGCTAGAACTAGCTTCCGCAAAAATATAAGAGCCTGTAGGTCACTTCTGCACAGTGTGCAAACACACTAGGCAACCATTATTAAAATATCCATAAAGGTTGGAATAATGACAACAGCAGCACTCATTTGGAAACCCCTTCCAGTCTCCTGTAGGCACTACTGACTCAAGAGATGCCAAGAGACACCGAGCTACTTTCTTCTCATCCCTCCAAATTGCTTGCGCAGCACCCCCCTTAAATCTGCCCTTCTCCTGCATCACTGGTGGGCTTTTCCCTGTTTTCTCCTCTCTGGCTTGCTAAGGGGTAGCTTGTGTCCTTTCGAGCAGGCCACGAGCAAGGCTCTCCCAGTGCTCCCATCCCAGGTGAGGAAGCAGGAGAGCACGGCAGAGGGGCTGTGAAAGGGCAGGACAGACATGGTTATACAGACAAAGAGGAAGTGCCTGTAAAGTTATACATCTTTTGTGGGAAAAATATTATATGTTTCATATCAGTACTGAAAATTGATAGCGAGTATACTTTTGAACTCTGGATTATATGGTATGTATTTGAAAAGTGGCAGCGCAGATCTCTATGCCTCAATACCCCTGTAAAATGGGAATAATAATACTTCTCAGTGTGCTTCAAGGTGATGGATCTTTGGAAACTCTTCACAGATGTAATTCTGTTAAAGCTCTTAAGAGAAAAACTCTGTGCATGGATTTCTAAACAGGCAGCTGGAGAGAGTGGTAGGAAAGCTGACTTTGCTACTTGTTGTAATGAACTCTCACTCACAATATTCCCCAAGAAAAAGGAATATATTTACAGGGGAATTATTTCTTATAGAATAACAACCTTCCATGCAACAGGAGCTACAGAACTGTATCAGAGAACATAAAGGGAAGTTTAGTGGGAACACAATGTCCTCATTTACCTAGTAGAGATAGCTTTGAACAGCAACATTTGGACTGAGATAAAATTTAAGTCCCATATTGTTCAGATCTGGATCTAACCTTTTTCTACAACCCAATTCTCAGCCTGAAAAAATGAATATATTTTCTCTGACACAGATGTAGCTTTATCCACTACAAGATTCTGGACAGCAAATAGTTACCTTTAATTTTTGTGATTTTACTGTCACCATAGAACTGATTTCACCCATTATGCTTTTTTAAATTATTCAAATCTGATATTAGCTACATTCCAGTAAAGTTAATCCCAAAATGAACACTTTCAAATCGCACTATTCCTATAGACAATTTCGTCTATATTTCCTTAAAACATTTTTAGTGTCACAACCTTACCTGAGTGACTGAAACAAGATTTTCATCAATGTCCAGCAATAAGTTTCCATTCTCCAGCTGTAAAGCATGATTTATGAAATGAAATGAATGATTTATGAAAATGACATGAATTTCTGAGCATGAAAATGATAACCTCCATAATTATTGACTTCAGTATTCAAATGAAAACCCTTTCCATCTTGCAGTGCGCACAGATACGAAATCACGTAGTCAAGATAGTGAGCTTGAATGTTGCTCAGATGTTGGGCAAACACACACTTTATTTGTGCTAAATCTCATCTTCTGGTGTATAGGGCAATTTTACCGCTTGCATCACAACTATTTATTTTCCAGGGTATTTTTAAATTCAGCAATAAGCATACCCAGTGAGCTCTGATCCTACTTACATGAGTAGAACTTCTCACTGGCATGGTGAAATAGAAGACTTAACATCCTCAGGGGAAAAAAAGAAGTTTGAACACCAAGAGCTCTAGAAGTAAGTGTTTGCAGAAAACCACAGATTCCTCTTAACTAGAACTAAAGCATAGTGTAAACATATTTTCTTTCCATATCAATTTTTAAAATTACTTATATAAGTTGATTTTAGTTCTACTCAAATACTTAAAAGTTTGTGTGTTTACATATACGTGGGAGTATAAGACCCACACATGCATATGTATCTATATCCATCTGCATATTCAATGCTAATTATTACTTCGGTGTCCTCAGAATGCTAAATTTCAGATAACATGTATTGTAGTGTTGGAGATTTGTATTTATTTAGAAGCAAACAAAACAGCAAGCTATCAAAAATCAAATCTTAGATGACTGAGAGGCTTCATAAACATTACCAGCCAGTAAAAATCTCAGAAACAGCCTAGACTGCTTTTTCCCCACTCTTACCTCACCATAGACCTGAAGGGAAAAAAAAAACCAAAAAAACAAAGACTGGCAATAAGCAAAGCCAAAGGAAGAAAATGCCTTCGTGCACAACGAGGAAAGGACCCAGTCCTGCTCCTTCTTGTTGATGACGGTGTGTTTCCCCAGCATCAGGTAAGTGTGAAAAAAGCTATGTCAAAGAAATCTCCCAGACCCAAAAAATATTCTTTAAATGAAACCAGAAGGGTTTACACCTTCAGGAAGGCCCAGTTTTGGCCAGTGGCTAACGACTTTGGGTTCTGACAGCCCCCTCATTTAACCCCTCTATCCCTCCAGCATCCCAAAGAGGATCCTGCTCCCAGCCACAGCGACGGCTCTGCAGAACGTGCTAAGAAATAACTACGGAGGAAACATGCATTACAGCATTCAAGGGGCCACCAGATATTCCCACCTGTGCTAAGTGGACGGAGAAAACATTTGCCCAGCATGTCATGGCACATCCCCAAGTGCCCAATTATCATGTAGCCCTTGAGCTGCATCTTCCCTTCGCTCATGTTCTGCATCATGTGCTGGCGGGGAAGCGCTTCCTAAAAGTGAAATATCGCCGTCTACCAGGACAGCCGGCACTGGTGACCATGCCAAGGCTGCAACGCAGCTACCAAGGGCAGATATTGGCCCTCAGAGACCTTCTCCAGTTCAGCTTTCTGATAAAAAACCTTCACAATTAAGTCAACAATCCTCTCTCTCCTCCCCTGGTGCATGACAGAAAATAATCAGAAGCCTGGAAAGATGCTCCAAGTCCTTGATCTTTCTGTAGGATTGCTGCCTGTGGATTTCTCCACAGAGTGATGTAAAAGCTTGCTTTAATTATTCAAAAATACACCTCCTCGAATATGAAAACACCCCTACAGCTTAGTCAACCAGGCACACACCAATCACTTGCGACCGGCCGTGCAAAGCGAGGCGGAGGAAAGAGTATTAATCCTTGTATCGCAGTGACATTAAACCTGTAATGAAAGCTCCGTCTTTCTATACAGGCATGTGAGACAAATTGTAAATCTTTTAAACATGAAATATGTAAATCTGGCTTCTTAAAGCAGCATCAAGCTCTTTGAACCACACCAGCCAGTAATGAAATTCTTCATGACACTTTTCACTGTTTGCTACAGAAAAACATATTGTCCAAGAGAGAGAAAAAGCCAAGAGTACAGAAGTCATTATAAGAGATAAGAAAACCACAGCTTTGCAAAACCTGAACTCACACCAGTCCACCTCCACTACAGCATTCCCTCTGA